AGGGGAGGGTGAAGAGAGAGTGGGGACAAGGGGAAAAAATGAGGACCAAGACCTGGCATGTAAAGGTATAAGATCCCAGTAATGAATGTAGCTGTACTGTCTACCTAGAATGTACCAATAAATTAAATTTTTAAAAAATTAATACTGGGAAATATATACTGAGGAGGTAAATGGCACATCATGCCTACCATTTTCTGTCAAAGAGTTCAAAGATTAAGTGTCTATATATTCAGATGAGAATATGAAATGGATGTCAACAAAATGTCAAGTACTGATCTGAGTAAAGAATTTATCACAATTATTCCTAATTTCAGAGTTATAGGGAAAACTGCGAATCAACAAACTATAACAAAAATACCAATCTGGAATCTGACTTAAGGGATTTACTACAGAAAATCTTGAATCCAGTAAAAATCTTCATTCAAGGTTACGGAAAAGGAGTTCCTTTGAACAGCTAATATTGTACCATCTTATTCACTACTCACCAAACCTCAGCCCTTATTCTTGTTGCTTTACCTACATTTCAGTTTTTTATAGTCACAGGGCCTTCATTAGCCCTGAGGCCTAATTCAAATGTTATTATCTTCCAACAGCCAACTCTTATCAATCATATCTTATTTTGGTCCTTGCACCTAAAATTGCAGTTTACAAACTCCTATGCATCTTTGAGATCTCTGCTAAAAAGCTTCAAGCAAGTTGTGAGTATTCTAGTAAAAACCACTTTACAATCTCATGAAGTTTATTTATCAAAGCCACAACTTCCTAACTTTATCATGAATATTTTTAAACCTGTCAACTTCTGGGAGAGCACTGCTTTCAAGCAACATTTACGGAGTTTCAAAATAAAGTTCAAAACAATTACTCAATAAGATCCTAATAAGATTACTGTCATTTAGAAATGAGAAGAAAGGAGCTAAAGGTGTAGGGAAGGTGGGATGGGCAGAGGAAGGGTAATAAGGGAGAAGAAAAAAATGTGAGATAATGAAAAGATGAAAATAAAGTGTTTGTATATGGGGAGGGGAGGAGGGGATGAAGGGAGGGCAGGGGTAAGGGGAAAAAATGAGAATCAAGACTTGTCATGTAGAGGTACAAGATCCCAACAATGAATGTAACTCTACTGTATCCCTAAAATGTACCAATAAACTCAAAGCTGAAAAAAAAAAAAAAAAAAACAACAAGAACAATTACTCACACACAACCTGCCTTGCATAAGTGCAAGGTCCTCAGTTCGATACCTGGTACCAAAAAACAAACAAAAAACCAATTACTCACAAAAGCTACCAATGCTCAACTTGCAATATGAAAAATTGCCTTGATTTCTTCCAAGTAATTTGTTTCTAAGTTGTGATGCTGTTTCTCTTATACTCAAGAATTTTATAGTTGGTATGTTTTAACTGAAAAACTTCGAAGTGCAGTAGGTGTCAAATAGAAATGATATACATTATACTGGTAGTGAAAATAAATTACAGTAAAACCTTGGATTGTTGAGTAACTTGAGTTAACACAAAATGAGCAAACATTTCTAACAAATTGTAACTTGATGAGTGGTGTCTTGCAGTACGTGACACTAAGTATCACAAGATCAAAACTGAGCCAATGCTTTTCTCTCCCCACTACCCACCCTCTTTGTGGATGGTCATCTCCCAACAGCAATAGGTTATGGAGATTTCAATGGCAGAAGTAAAGGCAGAAGAATCCCTCATTTCAAATGGGACTGAAAAGATGTGGGAAACTGCAAAATTTTGCAGAAAAAGTACTATATATAAAACTTCTGCCAAAAATTCTCAAAAGGAGGGACCGTAACCGGTTCCGTCACCTGCCTCACAAGCACAAGGTCCAGAATCCAATCCCCTAAACCA